AAAGTTACCTGAGAGTTTGTTACAATTAGAAGATGCCTATGTGAAGCCAAGCTATCTGCAAGAAGCCCCCACGAAAGTCCCACTGTTGAAAACAAGACATGTGCTGAAGAGGTTACAATTTGCCAAAGAGCATATTGACTGGCCTAAAGAGAAATGGCGCAACATTTTGTGGACTGATAAAAGTAAGATTGTTTTTTTTGGGTCTAGTGGCCGGAGACAGTTTGTCAGATGACCCCCAAACACTGAATTCAAGCCACAGTACACTGTGAAGACAGTGAAGCATGGTTGCGCAAGCATCATGATATGGGGATGTTTCTCATACTACAGTGTTGGGCCTATTTATCGCATACCAGGGATCATGGATCAGTTTGAATACATCAGAATACTTGAAGAGGTCATGCTGCCTTATGCTAAAGAGGAAATGCCCTTGAAATGGGTGTTCCAACAAGACAACGACCCCAAACACACCAGTAAACGTGGAATAGAATGTGTAGTGTTCCCAATAAATTTGTGTGTATGGAAATAAAAGCTATTAGAAGGATTTTGAGCTTTATTCACTTTTCTCAACACACTGCTATTATTTTGAACACAACTGTATGTGCTGCTATGCTTTTCTGCTTTTTGATGTGATAGATAGATAGATAGATAGATACTAGATACTAGAATATTTGTTAACAGATCACTGAGGTTTTGTGATTTATGTCTAGAGAATGTCTTATCGACTGGAGCCACATTACTCCTCCCCCTAACTATCCCTGTTCTGGTTTTACCAATGAGGGGAAGGGGACAACAATCCCTGAAACGCGTCAGTGGGCTGTGTCATCCATCTGCGCGTTGGAATGGACAGTGGATGAATGCACTTTGTGCCCATGTACTTTTATACCTCTAGCCTACTGTGCTTGTGAGTATGTTTGTTTGTTTTTATCTATTTCACTAATACAGCACCAAAAGATATGCACTAGGCATTTGTGCCCTTTCTTTTTTTGTTGTGGTCATAATACAATAGCTGCAGTGGTAGATTTGTTCATCTGCACTGTATAGCCTGGATAGAGAAATCTATTCGATTTTTTTTCATTCAGTCCAGTCCACGTGTCTATTTTGTTGTGAACATTTTCAGGAAAAAAAAGTTCAAATCTTTCAAGAAAAAATGGAAAGACAAACCCTGCTTTACTAGCAAAAGCGGACTTTACAGGTACAACATGGAGCAACATATTTGTAAAATCATGCAATTGTATTTATTATTTTACAAAAAATAAACAATTATAAAAACTGGCTAAAACATATATAACTGCACAGCCTTAAAATGTGACTGGAGTCTTGTCCAATTCATTACTCAGTGTCCAACAATTACAGAAATAGTATCCATGACAATGCTTCCTCCCATGTTTCCCTTCAACTCGTTTCGCCACGGGTACCACTTCTTCAGGACAGGACAGTTATGTAAAGAAGCTTCTAGATTTTCAGATCAAAATATGCATAATTAATCAAAGTTCAAAATTGTGTTTCATGTTATTAGATCTAATAACATGCAATGTCAAGCTGCAATTTCTGAAGCAAACAAAATACTTTCTTGTACTAATAAAGAGAGCGAGAGATACTCCAATACAAGAAATACCAGCAGACAATCCAAAATTTGTGTTTAATGTTTTGAGTACAGAAGACAAGACGCTAGTTGCTATGGGTTGCCACAAATTACATGTTCACGTTTACACATTATTTACATAAATTGCATTTGTTGGTTTTTGGTTGGTTTGTCATTGATCAAATCTTACTTTAAGCAACACAACCATCAACCAAATCGCATTTAAAATGAAAACATGCAAAACAGCATCTTGTTAGCGTTCTATGGGAATGCTTGTTTTAAATTGTTATCAAATCTTTTCTGTCATTGTGACAGCAACTTTCAATTACAGCGTTTTTGCAGCCATTAATGGTTGATTTATGTAGCAAGCTTCATCAATAAATCTAATTTGGTTGATACTATGGCAATTTAAATTGCAAGGAAATTGCCATGATGTATTCTGTTCCATCAATTTATGTCTTTGTTAAAGAGATAGACACAGGTGTGAGGCAGTGTTTTCTGTTTGTGTCTGAAAAGGCTCATCACTCTTCTCATTCAAATCTAATCTGTGGGTCACAAAATGCTTTAAAGCTCACAGTGCTGCTTATTGTTTGCAGGTTATGGTCAAATTTGTCATAAATACAAAGCCAGTGTATATGTCACACAGGACAAAACAGACACCAGCTGGAAAATTTGTGACACAAAATGTCAAGAGTATACCCAATCTAAGCTAAAGATCCCACAGGCTTTCCTGACATTATGAGAAGATATTGAAACCTTTGAAGTGTAGTGGTATAATTGGAGGCTTTGAACAATGCTGATATCAGCCTATGGCTAAACAATATAGCTATCTTACAAAATGTATTTGTATATAATGTGTAATAATATGTTATTTTTAAAATGCTAGTAAAATACTAGTACTGCTCTGTTTTGGATTGTATAAAATGTATTCTGTAACATTCAGGAAAAAAAAAAAAGACATGAATGTCAGCTTGGTGCATTGTGTTCCTGCAACTTTTCAAAACATTACTGCGCAATTTCCCTGCTTCACCCCCTTTCTGCCCAGGCCAGTTTTTTCAGTGCTGTCACATTTTGAATGACAATTGTGCAGTCATGCAACACTGTACCCACATGAGATTTTTTAAACACAAATAGAGCTTCCTTTCAGTCGTTTTTAATCACCACTGTTTTTTTTTTTTTAATTTAAAGACCAAAAATTTTGAAAATAGTTTTTTCTTCTTTTTTCTGCAAATCAATCGTTCTTCATAAATTTGGGCCAAAATGTATACTGCTACATTTCTTTGGTGAAAATAATCCATATCAGTGTATAATATTTAGTCTGTAGGAAAGCTGAAGTCTGCAAACAATGGTAGTATATAGTGTATATCTGAAAATTGATCAATCCTGATGTACTGAAAAAGCCAGGACATTACAAATAACCACAAATGACCCCTTTTTTGGAAAATAGGCAGTCCTAGGTATTTATTAAGAGCCATGACGGGTTTTTGAAGTCATTATTTTGTCACAATGTTTTAGAAAATGAAAATTTTTAAAAATGCTGTCACCAATTTTTTTAAATATTTTTTCATTGTTCCTTTTTTGCTTTACACTTTTTTTTTTACATACAGTGACCAGAGAAATACAGTGATATCATACAGTATTGTACAGCAATACAGTGCTACTCTGAGGAGATGATTAGGATTTTTTTTTTACACCCTGATTGCTTATAACTAAATTTTACAGTCATAAGCAACCATTTTTTTTCTGAATGAAACTTTTCATTTAGTGCTTACTATTTTTTGGCCACAGCTAATCACATGGTAAAGGGCCAATCACAACCCATCTATACCATAATATCACTGTGACCAATCACAGAGCTCATCACAATAGTACATCATGAAGAGTATGAATGAAAGCCTTTCATTTTGTACAATTGTCATGTGGACTGCTGTGATTGACCACAGTGATCACATGGCACTGGAAGTGGGCCAGGACAGTGGTGGACACAGCAGGTCTGATCCTGGGAGCACATCCTATGCTGTCCTCCCAGAGCAATAGGGCACTTGCCTGGCCGTCATATTACAATAGGCCAAACAGGAAGGGATTAGTAGAATTCTAAAGGTGAAGATTTTCTGCATCATAGCAGTCATCTGTCTAGTCACTCCTGTACTTACAGAATTATAGCTGTGTATCTGCAGTGTGAGATCATCTAAGACACTTCTGCTTTTGATTGCATGTCTCACAAGATATGGAGTGAGATCTAGTGATGTAACTACTGTGCTGCTCATTGTTCTCCTTGCTGGAGAGAAAGCTAAAGTGCAAGGATTGCCCTGCTTCTGCTTCATTCTTTTTGTGTATCTCTACATACAGACACAGTGCAAAACAATGCAAGTCGCTTTTACGGCAAAAATCAGTTGCAGGTAGCATAGGCAATAGTGGTGATTGGTGCTATGTCCTCAACTTACCTTACTTGGGCACAGCATTTTGGTCCTGTAGCTGGTTTTGTCATCCACTTTAATGTTCACATTACTTGGGTGCATAATCAACTGTGTCCTTATGCAAACCTGCAACACAATCATTACTATAGACTTCTAAACAATTGCTCTTGTAAATTTTTGTTTAGTGAATTAAGGTCCTGTGCGGCACTGGCCTGAAACAGGTGTCCACTAGGTTACATTAGATCTGGGCACATTGGGCTGGAAAACCTACATAGCTACCTGGTCTTTTCATGTTGGTGACCATTTCTTGTGGGCTGAAAGTGCAGCATTCATAGTATTTCACAGAGATTGGTGGCCATACTGAAAGGTGAGCGTTGCCTTTAAAGCTAAACTCCAGGATAAGGAAATATTGTCAAAATACAAGGTGTGTGCATTCTTACTTAAATCTTTGTGTGTTTTCTGGGTTTCTTCTTCCAGATCTGTGCAGGAGCTGCTCATAATAAAGACCCCTCAGTGCAGGGTGACAGACCCTCCCTCTGTAGTTTTTTTTTTTTCAGGCAGCCCGTAGTGGGTTGACCTGCTCAAGTCTTCCCACCTCTCTGTGTTGTGATGTCAGTGATTCTTTTATATGGTAATAACTGGGTTTGCAAAGCATCTGGTGCATATAAAGTGGATTCATATACTTTGTGGCTGACAATATTCACCTATCTAAAGGAATAAAGTGGAAATGGGTTCACTTCACTTATCAGTGTACAAGGCAAAATCCTGTTTTATTTTTTTAAATTCCCCTGTACATGATTAAGTAAAGAGAACATAGCTATACACTATATAATGTATTTTAATTGGTCACTGAGAGAGGAACAATAAAGCATAACTAAGGTGGCAGTAAAACTATATACACTATATTGCCAAAAGTATTGGGACACCCCCTCCAAATCATTGGATTCAGGTGTTCCAATCACCTCCCACAGCCATAGGTGTATAAAATTAAGCACCTAGGCATGTAGACTGCTTCTACAAATATTTGTGAAAGAAATGAGTTGCATTCAGGAGCTCAGTGAGTTCAAGCGGGTACTGTGATAGGATTGCCACCTGTGCAAGAAGTCCATGCATGAAATGTCCTTGCTACTAAATATTCCATTGTCAACTGTTAGTGGTATTATAACAAAGTGGAAGCAACTTGGAACAACTGCAACTCAGCCACGTAGTGGTAGGTCACTTAAAATGACAGAGCGGGGTCAGCGCATGCTGAAGCGCACAGTGCGCAGAGGTAGCCTACTGTCTGCAGAGTCAATAGCTAAACACCTCCAAACTTCATGTTGCCTGCAAATTAGCACAACAAAAGTGCATAGAGAGCTTCATGGAATGGGTTTCCATGGCCGAGCAGCTGCATCCAAGCCTTACATCACCAAGTGCAATGTAAGGCATCAGATGTAGTGGTGTAAAGCACGCCACCACTGGACTCTAGAGCAATGGAGACGTGTTCTCTGGAGTGACAAATCACGCTATTCTGTCTGGCAATTCGATGGACGTGTCTGGGTTTGGCAGTTGCTAGGAGAATGGTACATGCCTAACTGCATTGTGCCAAGTGTAAAGTTTGGTGGAGGGGGATTATGGTGTGGGGTTGTTATTCTGGGGTTGGACTTGTCCCCTTAGTTCCAAGGAAGGGAACTCTTAAGATGTCAGCATACCAGGACATTTTGGAAAATTTCATGCACCCCACTTTTGTGGGAATTAGTGGGGGGTGGCCCCTTCCTGTTCCAACATGACTGCGCACCAGTGCACAAAGCAAGGTCCATAAAGACATGGATGAGTGAGTTTGTGCAGGCCTTTCAAGTTCCTCCACCCCAGAGTCCTGACCTGAACCCAATAGAACACCTTTGGGATGAATTAGCGCAGGGACTGCAAGCCAGGCCTTTTCATCCGACATCAGTGCCTGACCTTGCAAATGAGCTTCTGGAAGAATGGTCAAACATTCCCATAGACACACTCCTAAACCTTGTGGACAGCCTTCCCAGATTAGTTGAAGCTGTTATAGCTGCAAATGCTGAGCAAACTAAATATTGAACCCTACGGATGCCATTAAAGTCCATGCATGTTTAAAGGCAGGCGCCCCAATACCTTTGGCAAATAAGTGTATATGCACTATAGGGCCATGTTTAGAGATACCTTGTAGGCCCTATGTTTTGATGTTTTTGACAGAGGAAACAGCTGAAGGAATTGTTACATATTACATACCCATTGGGGTATTTTATTGCCTGCATTTACTTCAGGTATTGTTTTCTTTTTATAGAGTTATCTAATATCACATATTATAAATTTCTATGATTCAATTGTATCACTCAGTATGCCCAAACAATGGGGGATTTTGATGTTTTTGCCTCTTTGTAGATGTTAAGATTGAATATATTCCATTTTGGCTTGAATGTTTAGGCATGCACAGTACTGGTTTCCACCAGATAATTTGATGTAGGTTTTTATTTCTCCCATACATAATATATATGGTAAAGCTGATACACTATACAGTGTATAATCTAGAATCTTTACATTTGCATTCAGCTTATATTTACCCAGTTGCATCACTTGCCTTGGATCTTTCTGCCTATGTGATGCCAGGAGCTAACCAGCAAGGATTTTTTTTTTTTTTTTATGGCAATGTGAGTTGAAAGAGGAAAAAAAAAAAAATTTTTTTTTAGTATTTTTTTTTTTAAATAAATACATTTGTTTGATGTTATGATCAACAATTTATTATTTTATAGAATGTTTGTGCTGTATTCCACTGTTTTGCCCTGAAGAAGATTCAAAATATAAATTTGGTGACTTGAAAGGCATTAGGGTTTCTCTTTTTTGATGATATGCTGCCAAACCATCACCATTTCTGCATAATGCTATGTACAATGTATTTTTCATTCTGTTTTTAAAATTGGATTTAATAAAATGGTGTTTTTACATATTTCTTGTAATTTCTTATAATTGACCAGTACTATATATTTCAACAACAAGCTACGCCAGATCCTGTACATCAAATGAAGGAGATTTGGCATGGCCTGTTACTCTCGTAATAAGCTGATCTGGCAAAGACATCATTGTTGGGCCAGCAGAGAATAAGAGGGAAAAAAAAGGTTGCCAAGTATTTGGTTTCTTTTTTTTTTTTTTTCAAATGGCAGTGCGGATTTTAATTTAGAAGTTAGGACAGACCAAAGAAACCAACAAAAATAGCAAAAACAAAATAGGTAATCAACTAGGTTTATTGCTTTTAAGGGGTCACTTTTATGTATTTGACCATAATCACCCACTCACTTGCATGAAATTTTACAACAAAACACTCTTGTGCTTATACAATCAGTAAACATTGTGACATACCTTTCCCAAACCAGATATCTACTGTATATACTTTCCTGTTATATTGAAGTGATTTATAATGGCTCATAATTCATCTGTTGACAAGTATATGTGAACAAAGCAATTTTAGTTGTTGCCTGATGTAAATTATTTAAATATTCTTATAATCTCAAAGGCTTTTAAGGTTCCCTGGTGTGAATATTTATGGATCATGTCACATCAAAAATATATAATACATTAATATGAGAGCTTTCAAATCTATCCTAATTACAGTATCATGCAGTATAGAATATAATAGTATTTTTTTTTTCTGTCTGTGAGAGCAGAACAGGGTAAATATTGATGTCAAAACAAAATGGGTCTAAGGTGCTTTTTTTAAAAGGTAGCACATTATTTCCTCATGTTAAAGCTATAGATAAAATGGAAGACATAATAAGCATGTTGTGCAGCACAATTTAGAATTCTTTTTTAAGTACCCACTTTCCAGGTCCATTTTGAAGTGACTACAGCAGATACCAGCAGTTATTATTGATGTGATGGCAGTTGAGGTTCAGCACTATGCCCAGGAACTAAACTGTTTAGATTCTAACCATTCAGTCTTACTACAGCATAATCTATAACAGTTTATGCTTGGTGGATACAGAAGAAATCCCTTGATATTGTCTGACATCATGAGAAGTAATTGTGAATGCTGGTGGCTATCGTTCAGCAGCACGATTCTTGGTAACATCATTGCAGTTCCAGACTATTACTTGCTAACTCAGACAACAAAAGATGACTTATAATAGTAATCTGTTGCTCAAACATGATTCAGAACCCTATCCACTAGAAAACATGCAAAATAAAATACAACCCAATATCATACACAATACATTAAAATCTCTGGCTCATATTTGCATTTAACAGATACACGTTTGTGTAATGTCTTCATTTGCCAGTCTGAGCAAATGTCACCCTCCCACTAATTCCTACCTGCTTAAGTGGAAACTATAATTGTATTTTTTTTTGTGTTTTAAATGTTTAAGTGTGTGTTTTTTTTAAGCTGTTTTTATATTTCACAATTTTTGTTTTATAAAATATGCATTTAATACATCACCAATGGTTCCCAGAGCACCATGGTTTATCTAAAGAGACCATACACCAGTAAGGTTGCTTTGTAACTCTTTTGTCTAACAGAAACCTCTGACTTGGTGTATGATGGGGCAGGGCACACTGCTGCTATGACTAATTCTGGGGAATTGCCTAAGCTTCTTGCACCAAATAACTGCAGGAAACCGGAGAGGCATGTGTTACAATAACTAAGTAGATATAGGCATACCTTGGTTTACGAACGCCTCAGTTAACGTAATTTTCGGTTTACGAATGACAATCCATTGAAAATAATGCCTCGGTTTACATATTTTTTTCCGCAATTCAAAGTTTCCCCAGGATGCATTGCGCCTGGGAGGTTTATAGTGCCTGCCCATGCCTTTAAAGTGTACTTTACAAAGAGTTTTGAAAAGATAAGACTTTTTTTTTTTTTTACTTTTTCTGACCTCCGGAACGGATTAATTGGTTTTCAATGTATTCCTATGGGAAACCGCGTTTCGGTTTATGAATTTATCGCAATACGAAACATCCCGGAGAAAGCTTTAAATTTGTAAACCGAGGTACACCTGTTTTTAGGTCTATCTGCCCACCCCACACCAGTTTCTATTTCGGAGTGAAATAGAAACTGGAGTGGGTTCTGTGAGTAACAGAGACTGAGGCAGTTGGCTTCATAAGAAACTGCCGCAGATCCCTACCAGCTTCAGAGTTTCACACATTCCTAGCTCTGTTCCTCCAGAGCCTGCACAGTCCTCTTTCTTCCTCCTGCAGTCAGCAAAGCAGGGAAGGGTGGGGGGGGGGCACAATGGACAGAGGAATTAAGAGAATGTAGATCCAGTTTCAGCTCTATGTAGTGATAGGCAGTGTACAACACAGCGCAGATCAGTCCTAATTAGCAAAGTTGCTTGTTCCCAAAAGTTAGTGATGCAGTTCCACATTCTGTGGACTTTGTAAGTAGTGTGTCTACAATATGTGGCTCTTCAAAAGAACAATGCTAAATTTAGAGAGCGAATTCTGTGGCTGGAAGAGATTTCCTCATGTGAGCAAGCCCCACATGTTATTTATTACAGATACTTATATAGCACTATCAATTTTAAGCAGTGCTTTACATATACATGTACATTCACATCGGTCCCTAACCCTCAAGGGAAGTATGATCTAAGGTCCCTCACAATCATATTTACATATACTAGGGCCAATTTAGACAGGATCCAATTAACCTACCAGCATGTATTTGGAGTGTCGGAGGAAACCAGGGTACCTGGAGGAAATCCACGCAGGCACAGGGAGGGCATGCAAACTTCAGGCAGGTAGCGCAATGGTTGGGAATCGAGCCAATGACCCTAATACTGCCAGGTGGAAGTGCTAACCATTTAGCCACTGTTCCCAAACAAAGTATGGGAGTCTGCCATGGAATGGTGTAAAAGCCATTTTGTGACAGTCACAGCATTACAGCTGGCTTTCCAGTCTCTTTAGCTAGAGTCAAAGAGCAGATGGCTGTCCAGAAGTAAGAGGCAAGTGCTGTTACCCATAGCAACACTGGTTGAAATTAGATCTACCAAGTTAATCAAAAAATGTTGCCAGCTGATAATGTGAATGTATCTGTCTTTATAGCTGCCTTTTGAGAGGATTTTTTTTGGAAGGAGCATGACTAAAAAAATGTATCTGTTCAGAAATGCTATTGCCCTTTCTGGTGGTAAGGTATCAGACTGCCTAGTGGGTGATGGGCTGAGGCTGCAACATCTATAAAAATTCACATTTATGATAATGGAAAAAAAATCTACTGTGATTAGAACATGTTGTCACCAAGTATTCCTTGTTTCTGGATAGAAAGCAAAGTAATCTGTCCAGGCAGAGGTCTGTGGTTTTCCACCAAGTGTCTGCAGTCACCCCTGGCAACAGTGCAAAAGTTCCCGTTAAGCCTGAAAGGGGTAACAAGGCATATTGCGCCTGCTGTTGTTTTGTTCTGG